TTTATTACATTAAATTTGCTGATTGTGTTTAAACCTTTTATATTTGTACTGATTTGTGCTGGCTTATTTAACCAATTGCTCAGAGATATGAATTAAAACCTTCCACTATGATTGTGGATTTGTCTATTTCTCCCTGTAATCTTGTCAGGTTTTGGTTTCTATATTTTAAAGCTATGTTATTTGGTTTGTACATGTTGAAATTGTTATATATTCTTGGTGAATTGGATCATTAATCAATACGAAGTAACCTATTTATTGCTAATAAAATTTTGACTAAATGTCTCGTTGACTACTATTAATACAACTATGTCACCTTTCTTTTGTTAGTTTCTTCATGATGCATCCTTTTCATCTTTTTCTTTCAACCTCTTTGTTTTTGTGTCAGATGTGTCTCTTGTATCTGACAATAACTATCTTCAATTGTAGCATGTCGTCCATTCAAATTTAATGTGGTTGTTAACATTTAGATTTAAATCTGTAGTTGGTAACTGTCCTCTTACTTGCTCTGTTTTATTTTCTTTCTTCTGTATTCTTCCTGTTTGCTCAGAATTGAAATACTCTTTTGCCATTCTTTCAGTTGTCGCCCTGGAGTTAACAGCATGATTTACCACAGTCTAGTATTAATTGTTGCTTTTATTGTCTTCCCAGTCAGTGCAGGGACCTTAATCTATATTCCATGTCCGGTAGCCTCTCTTTGATTTCATCCACCATTTTGCTCTTTGTAATGCCTTCTTTGGAAGATCTTGCACAACATTAGTTCTCTGCTTTTTAAAAATCTTGTGTAATTTATCCATTGGGTTTTTAAACTTTAATCATTGTAGTTTTCATTTTTCAAAGTTCTTATTCGTTTTCAGATCTTTCTTTCTTGGTCATATTTTCAAGCCTCTATTTTATGACTTTTAACATATTAAATATTATTGTTTAATCTATTGGGTTAGATTTTAGTATCTGAAGTCTTTTGTTTCAGATTTTGCTGAACATTATTTCTGCTGACTCTTGCTCATGGTGCCATGTGTCTTTTTGTGTTTTACATTTTTAACTGTAAAGTAACATGTCTTAGATTTTTATGTGGGGGTATTCAGAGATTTTACTTGACAGTGCATTTTCCTAGAGAGGATTATTGCTTGAGTCACCTTGAGGTACTACCAACATGGGATCCATTTTTAAATTCAAGTTTTTTGTTTGAAGCTTTTCAAACTACACTGGTAGCATAAACTCAGATGATAACTTTCTCTACCTGGAACCAGGGTCATAACATGATTCTTTATGTCCAGTTATATATGGTGGCCCCTCTCCCTCCTTTCCTCTCTTATTCATCCTTACTGTGAATGTGTAAGCTTCATGCAGTGGTCTCCTATTAGAATCTCCACTTAGGGAGACCCTACACTTTTCCATCTCTCATGCACCAAGCAGATAAGCTCAAAATCCCAATAATTAGCAGAAGTTATTGAGTGAAAATTGACTTTGGACCTAATTTACCTCCCAAAGTTCTTGCAATTCATTTTATTTTTATACTCTATTGTTTTCTTATTTTCATGTCAACCTAGAGATGGCTTTCTTTTTTGTTTTTAAAAAATGGTTTTAAAAATTATTTATTTGGTGTTTTAGTTTCTCTTAAAGGTGGGGTGGTATTGTTAGAAATGGAATCATAGTGTTTATTTCTTTTTAAAAGTAATTCCATGCATTTTTATAGCTTTTGTTATCTTCAAAATGCTACCTGATATAATTAGATTTCTTTTCATATTTATGTCACTTTGTGCAATAACAAAAAGAAAAATGAAGGGAGGTAACCCTTATTGAATAATTACCATGTGCCAGACATTGTTTTAAATGCTTTATATATTAACTTGTTGAATCCCCTCAGCATCTCTATAAAGTAGATGTGGTTATTTATTCCCATTTTATAAATGGGAGAACTATAGCACAGAGAAGTTGAATAAATTACATATGGTCACATAGCTAGTGAAAGTTGAACAGGAATAATTTTTAAATGGTAAACTACTATATTACTAAGTAATTTGCCAGGGTCAAAAAAGGATGAATTTTGTTGCTACCTAGCCGTGGATTTGTATGCGGGATCTACCACTCACTATGATTCCATATTTAAAAATTTTTAAATATTTATTTTTACTTATTTATTTTAGCTTTCATTTATTTTATCTGATATTGTTTTTATTTGGTTTTGTTCTAAATGTGATAAACATTTAGAATAAAAATAATGAAATAGCCAATTAAACACAAAGCATCCCATTATACTCTGTGCCTCCCTCTTTCCTCCTCCTTTGCCCCATCATATTTAGTATATTTAGCCACCATTAACAGTTTGGAGTGTTTATTCCAGATGGCTTTTTCAGGATAAAAACCCATATGTGTGGTATTTGAACCTGTGTAAATTTAGTAATAATTCATATATATATGCATGTGTATAAAAATATATATATATATAAATATAGAGGGGTCTTCAAAAAGTTAATGGAAAAATTGGTATTATTTTTTAATTCTACTTTTCCACCAGCTTGTTGAAGTACCCTTGTATATACACACATTTACTAACTTCTGCAGTTTAACTATTTCTGTACTATGTCTAACTTTGAGCTTCTAGGTTGGTGGTGGGGTGGTGGGTTGCATGGGTGTTCTTTTAAAATTCCCATGGTTTCTTTAAAGCTGCATAGTATTGCAGAGTATAAGTCTAATTAGTTTTTTCCCTTTATATAGATACTTATTTTATTTAGATATTTCCCTATTAATGATACTGATGTTACTTGCTTTTTCAAGTATTACAAATCATTCTGGCATTCCTGTACTGCTTCTGGGTCCCTGGGCAAGGATTGCTGCAAGTTAAATTTCTTGCCATGCAGAACTGAGGCAATTGTGGGTCCATATAACATTTCAACACATATTGTGAAATTGCCCTTTAAAAACTTTTGCTGCAAGTTCTATGGTGGAAGAGAGAAGTCAGGAATGGACCTAAATATAAATAGAAATTAAGAATAACATGAAGATGTCATGTTAAAAGAGTGGAAAAAATAGTGATTATTCAATTGGTGGTGTCATGTCACTGGACTACGGGAAGTCTTTTGTGAGTTTGGCCAAATCTAGAAATCAACAAGGAAAAACAGCGATAAATTTGGAATGTTCCCAAACAAATGACTAAGGTTATGGATATGCTAATTACCCTAAGATCATGGGTCAATAAAGAAAAAATAAATTTAAAAAAATTCAGAGACAGAAGTAGATTAGAGGTTACCAGAAATGGGGAAGAAAGAATAACGGGAAGTTATTGCTTAATGGGTACAGACTTTATGTTTAGGGTGATGGAAAATGCTTTGGAAATAGACATGATGGTTACACAGCGTTGTGAATGTCATTAACTCTACACAACTGTATATTTAAAAATGGTTAAAATGGCAATTATTACATTATATATGTTTTACCACAATAAAAAATATAATTTTTTATATTAAAAATGATAAACGAAATAAAATAAAGACAAACCAACAAACTGGAAAAATGTTTATAACAAATTAACAAAGGACTTCTTTACTATCCAAACAAATATTTTAGGAACAGATACTAAAGAAAAAGTCCAGCCAAACAGCTCAAGGGAAAATTGACAAGTAGTAACTACTTTTCTTATTTTGAGTTTTTAAAATATGCCAGACACTGAGCTAACTACTGAAATGCAGGTTTTTGTTTAATTCTAGCAAATCTATGATACAGGGATTGTTGTTATTCCCATTTTGCAGAGAGAAAAGTTACAGCTCAGATTGTTTAAGTCAGTTTCCAAAAGTCATTCAGCTTATTAGAGATAGAGCCCAAACTCGAACACAAGTCAGTCTGCTTATAAATCTATTTTCTCAAGCACTTCCTAAAGAGTGGCTCCAGGCAAGGAAAAAAGCTGGAAATCACTGAGAAACAAATTAAAATGACCACCAAGCATATTAAAAGGTGTTCATATTTGCTTTTAATTTAAAGAAGTGAGAAAAACACATGCGTATATATATACCTTACCACTCAATAGGCAAAGATTGAAAGCATTGATAACAGTCTTAACAAGAGGGTAAAATAACTGGACTTCTCTCATACTGTTGATGGAATCGTGGTTATCTACACAAATTAGACATTCTCTCTCAGCCTCAGTTTGCTCATCTGTAAAATGAAGATAATACTTGGCTAGTACGAGGCAAAAAAATTGAGAGATAAGCCTGTAAGTAACGATGAAGACCAGTAAGAAGAAATAACACAGGCACTCCTGTGCCCTCAGCAGGGTGTTGGCTTTGCAGAGCCTTCTAGGACTGCATGAGGATTTCCACAGTACATTCAATTCCACATCCCGTTCTACCTTTCTTTTTCCACCCAGGTCATAGCAGGCAGTAGATAACAGTGAAAAGGAGCCCGGGTCTCCATGAAAATAACATGTGGTGAAATCACCTATGTTGCCTATGATTGGTGGTTTGATGGTTTATAGTCAAATGATCCCCCACCCATTTCAGGGCCCCATTAGCTTTCTGGAGTAAATGAATCTGGAAATTCTAAACATAAGTTATTAGAAAACACAAAAGCCCAAAAGCACTGTAATAATATCCTGCCTTTTCTAAATATTTATTGGCAACCATGTGTTCACTGAGAGAGAAATATTGACTTGGAAGTGACCTAACTAACCTTTAGTTTTGAAGCTCTCCATGCACAGAGCCATCCTAGCAATACTGCAGTTTTTAATAACTTTTGAGAGTTAAAAGTCTTCTCTTAGAAACTCCTGGTTCCAGGAAGGCAAAGTCACTGGTATTCTGACAAGCTGAATGAATGGCGATTAGCCCATGACTGTCTCCTCTAGAATGTTTTTCCGGTTCCCAGTTTGGCAGACTTTTATCTCCAGGTTTTTTAAAAAAGTTTTCCAAAAGACCTTTTTTATTTATGTAGCTGTGAACATGAAATAAACATGACAAGATGGCAGTTTGCTTAGCATCAGAGGAAATAATACTTGTGTGGTTTGTCTACAGCACATTTAACTGGATGGTCCCATTCCTTTCGCTGCTGGCCTGTTTGATTCTGGCAGTCACCACAGTCATTTTGTATTTCATTCCACTGCGGTACATCATTTTAATCTGGGGTAAGTTTGCATGGACTTTTTGCTAGCAATCAATTCCAGGTAAAAGCCAATTACTCAATTAAAGTGCGACTATAAACTTTAAATGTGCTCTTGTTGGCAATTAAACATGATATTAAGGAAAGCATTTGGGGAACAAAAACTTCCAGGACCTCCCTGAAAAGGCCAGTTGCATGAACAATCAGCATAGATATTTATAGGCCTCTTGAATAATTGTGATCAAATAAAAATGTGATTGTGCATGCCATTTCCTTTTGCGCTTTTCTAGTCATAAATCCCCTTGAATAATTTATCACTGTGGCCCAGTAACTTTCCGGAAACACCGTTGTTCAAACAGTGAGCAAACACCTGCATGTTGCCCTTTATATTATGGAAAAGTAGATCTGGCTGCTGCCAGATTGCTCCTGACACTTCGTCTCTCCCGGAGAAAAAAATAACCTAACCTCATGCTTAAATACAGAAGCAGGGAGGAGGCGGGGCGTTCTGTGACTACCTAACCAGTGCCTGAAAGGAGAGGAGGCTGTGTTTTACCAGGGGAAATGGTGTGCCTCCATAAAGTTTAGCTGCTTTAAGAAAGTAACCAAAATGGCAAAATTGAAATAAATTCCATGACTTGATTTAATACTCAAGCTAGCAATTGGACAAGATACAAGCAGCTTTGTGGATGTTCCTGTCTGTTGTTGGGCGGGCTCTGGGTTGACAAAAGGAGAGTGCATTGCAGTGACTTAATTGTTAATGAAGCAGAAGAGTCTCAGAAGAGACTTGTCCAGAAGAGTCTCAGTCCTGGTTTTCCATTAGTTAGCTCCTATGACTGTGACCGAGTTCTCAACCATTGCCACTTGTAGGGATCTTCCACTGTTAAGACGTTGAAGGAAATCACAAAGAGGAAAGATGGTGTGGAGATGTATTCATCCTTAAACAAAAGCTAAGATCTTTCAAGTACTGGATAAAAGCTACAATCTTTCTAAAACCATGAAGTGTAGACCTTTTCAAAGAGAATCCACAAAGGTAGAACCTGCTGACAAAGAAAGCCAAACCTGGGCATTCAGAAATGGAAGTCATGGGAAAAATAGAATGACTCATAAAATTACCAAGGGAGAATGATTTTGAGAGAGTATAATCCTCTATTTTGAGAGTATAATTCTCTGTTTTGTCTAGAAGATGAAAATCCTGCATAAAGAGGCTTCTCTCCTTCGCAGCAAGTTCGGGAAAAGAAAAAAAGACTAACCCTCTCCTTAGGGGTCTGTCTTAATACTTGGTGGTCCTCATTCTTGGGGAAAGTCTTCTTATATCCACGCATATGTGTTTGTTTCTTTGTTTGGTTTAATTGCATCAATTCTAGAACATTGGTCCTTAGGACAGATCATGGGAATCTCCAAGGCCCATAGATTAAGAAGTCATGTTTGCATATGTGTTTGTTTCTTTGTTTGGTTTAATTGCATCAATTCTAGCACATTGGTCCTTAGGACAGATCATGGGAATCTCCAAGGCCCATAGATTAAGAAGTCATGTTTTGCAAAAGTATTTCCCTGAATATTTTATATACTGAATGTTATCTGTATAGTCTCAATAATCTCATTCTTCTTAAATTATTTTGTCTTAAGTATTAGTTTCCAGATCCACTTCCTGATCACATTTAGAAATAGATCTTAAAATTGTTGGCTGACCTTAACAGAATGTGGTTCAAAATTACAATCGTTTGGCTAGTGTTTTGTTTGTTTTTAAGTCAATGTAAGTGGAATGCCATGGCCAGTGATTAAACACTTTCTTCTTGATTTTTCATCATTCTGGTGTATACTTGATTTGTTTGTATGCATCTTTCCCTCCACAGCGAAAGCTAATACTGTACTTCTTTCTTTGATCATCAATGTTTGGGATTCTAACCCCTCTTTCTCTTTACCCAAATCAGTTGGACTTCTGATCTTATCCTCCAAGATGTTGGCAGCTTTCCAGCTACAACTTTTTGCATCTACTTAGTAAAACATTGCTCTGTTTATTGTTCAGTTTATAGATAAAATTATTAAACAGTATGGAGTTTATTGTGTTCTCCTGGGCTGACAGTAACCCTTTGAGCCTTATACTCTGTGTCTGGTTCTTTAGTTTTGTATTCTAGACAGGAGTTTGTAGTTTATTGATGAGTTTACCATAGATAATGTAGTCAAAAGCCTCGATGATCAACATGTGATCTTTTTCCTTTTCTTATCATATAAAACCTGCTATTCCATCTGGGAATGTATTCCGTAATTCTATTAGGACTTATTTTTTTCCAGGACAAGTTAGTTATTAGCAAGCATAGGCACAGGACATTCTTTTGCACATCTCTTATGTAATTGTATTCCCTGGAGAGACCTTCTCATGTAGAAGAAGATAAATTTATACGTCTTAATTTTCTAGAGTTCCTTTTAACTTTGCTAAGGATCAGAGGACCTTCTTATCTTAGTTCCTTATTTATTTTCATTGAGTCCTAAAAATGATAAATAAGATCCAAAAATTTTTGTTCAATGTTTTTAATCATTTGGAAAATTTTATTTAACTCTATGTACTAGATTTCCATATTCTATATACCCAAATAATATTTTTTTGTTTAAGTGTTTAAGTATCAGAATTATTTTACATACACTCATGAAAACAACCTAATTTCATAATGGCCATGGGGAATGTTCCTGGACTCAGCAAATTCATTGGAAGGTTTTGATGGGTGAGATACTTTCTTTCCTCTTTCGCACTGTAATTCCTAATGCAGCTACATATAGATAATAGCTGTTTAATGAGTACTAGAAAAATATGAGTGAATGAGTCTGCAAGCTTAATACCTGTGCTCTACATCGATGACATTTTGTTGGGCCTACCACCTCTCTTGTGTGGGCGTGTGATTTTTGAAAATTAAGTGACATGTAGGTGTTAAGAGGGGTATCTGAAATTTTCTTCAGGAAACATTATCTACCAGATTTTAGTCATTTATTCGATGTATGTATTTTCAGAAGGCAGAGAGACATTTCTTAGAATTAGAGCCCATGTGGGTTTTCTGTTCTTTTTAAGAGTTTTCTCATAGTCCTTCTATTCTGTTCTTCATCATAGATGATTAAATTATAGTTTTCCAGTTCTGGTCTCAGCCACTTTTGTTTTTTCAAGGTAGAAATTTTGAGTTGTTTGCAAGGAGGAACCATGACTTATTTAACTTGGTGCCTCCATTTGGTAGCACAATATCTCTTCCGTGGAAGGCACTCGGGCTTTGATAAATGAACAAGAGAGGACCCTCGGCTCCACTCCTACCAGTGTATTGCAGTTGGGGCTACATGCCAGTCACTCATATAAGTATCTAAAAAATAGTGTTATAATTCTGTTTCAAGTGCTGGTTATTCTCAAGTAGCCAAATGTGCAAAGTGCAAAGCAGCCATGCAATTTTTTATTTCTTCTGACATTCTCCAAGTGATGTTTTTTAAACTAGAGGGCTCATTTCACCCCGCTGATTGTTCAGTCTGTGATCTGGGACCACTAAATGGTAGTGTCTTTCCCAAATGTTATGCCTTGGTATTTAGATACCATTTGCTTTTTTCCTTTCTTTGGCTAAAAAAATTTTTTTACAGCAGATATATTCTCTATCTGTATCATTTAGGTTAGAAAAAAATCTACAGGGATGTCTAGCATGCTACTGGATAAAGCTGCAACTTTCAGTGTGGGTGTGTGATCCATGCCTGATGTATCAATACTCTTTTCCATCACCGCCTCCTTTGTCTTCTTGGCTTATTGACATCTACAGTAATGATGGGAGCCCCTTACATTGTTGAGGAATTTCAGATTACAGAATCCTTTTGCCTATATCGTCCGAGGTCATTTTTCCACCGACCCAGGAAACTATACAGGGCAGCTCTTTATTATTCAATTTTAATATATGAAATCTGAGTTTCAGGAAGGTTAAGTGATTTGTCTGAAATCACACAGTTAATACACGATGCAGCCAGAACTGGGGCCTAGGTATTTCTGCACCATAACTGATGTCATCTTGCCTCATTGCTCCTTCAAGATGACCAAGGGGTCTGTGATCTCCTGTTGACACTTGGTCTCACACAGAGATAATATGGCAGAATCACTAAAACGTTTGGACCTGAGACACCTTAAAAAATAAGGTGTGCTTCAGAAGCATTCAATCTGAGTGCCTTATAATTTTTATTCTAAGTTTTTCAAACATAGTCTCAGTGCATTGTGGGCTACTTCTGCCTTTATTGGTACATTTGAGCTACTGTGCAGGTTTATAATCTTCTCAGTGACTAAGAATGCAGTGTTTTGATCAGCTGTGATATTATCCCTGCCTTGCTGTTCATTGTAAAGACTCCAGATGCGCACACTATATATAATTAACAATGGAAGATATATCTTTTCTCAATACGTCTTTGTCTCCCTTCATCGTTTTGCCTTGTCTGTTTTCTTTTGCCAAAAAGCCCATGCTACAATTAAATGTCTTTAGAATAACACAGTGAGAGTATTTTAGTTTAAAGGAACGCCGGGGGAAATTTTAGCTAGAAACGTGAAGCTTGCTGTGGGGGTAGCGGGAAGAAAGGCAGAGTGCAGCTTTGACTTGAGGGAAAGGGGATCATTTGCTAGAAACCTTCCTCAGCCCAGCCACCAAGCCACCACTTACCCACGAACAATGGCTTGCTCCCATTTGCAAAGCAGATGTAAATCTGACCCTCTGAAGAAATGGACTGGAGGTTGGCATTGTGTCGGGTATAATGCCATGCAGGAAGTCCAATTCTTAGATAAAAGCAACATAACGTTTAATGAACGAAGAAAAACATCAAACGTTTTATGTGTTAGGGACTGTTGAACAGTTAAATGTTACCTTGGCTTCTGAGTAGGAGCCGTTCAGAGGACAACGCAGCTAAGAATTCATTCAGCACCATTGGGACTGACAGGCCTTCAGATATGATCCTTGTTAAACAAGCACCCTGTGGCAGAACTTCAGAAGGCCACCCAGTCTTTCTGCTTCTAAAACTCAACAGGAAAAAAAAGGTTGACATTTGGTGAAAAGACTACAGCTTATGAGCTCTGGATGGATACAGGCAAAGCCGCTCCAAGGAGCAGAGCAGAAAATAAGGGAACTCCCCACTAAAGAGCAGACCAGTGGCAGAGCGTGTTCTGGACATGCCCAGGTGCAGCCACCAAGGAGGGATGTCCTATGGTACTCTGACATCTTAAACACTGCACCCCTTCTTAATTATCATCACCGCCATCCTAAAATAGCATGCTCTCCATTGCCCAGACAAACCCACGCACCAGTGTTGTGGTTCATAAATTAAGTTAGCAACCATAGTAAGATAATTTTCCAATAATAACTTTTCACAGTTTCCTGCTGCATCAAAGTACGATCAACATGTCAAGTTCTGTTCTGCCATGAGAGACGACAAACCTGTGAAAATGAGCTGGAGGTGGGGGGATATAGATGGCTGCATTTCTTTGTAGCGACAAAAAAACAACTCCTGCCCTCAGCCTCCCACTGCTACGTTTGGTCCAGAGCCTCCAAGTAGGGACTTGTTTGGGCTAATGAAGGCCTTTTCCCATCTGGGACATTTGTTTTCATAGCAGAGGAGGCTGTTAATCAGCGTCTTCCCAAAAAGCCGATGAGCTCCCCAGTTTGGGCGTGTGTTTCTGCTGCCCTGCTGCTGGGATTATAATGGGATTTTCACAGCTGAAGAAGACAGAGCCCCGCTTCCACAGCCCTCCTTCCTTCCTTCAGGAAAAGGCATTTGTGAATGATTCCACATGACAGCAACATGTGCATGACTTGAGGTCTGGTAATTGTTTTCACACTAATTTTTACTTGTGAACACACCCTCCTCTGCTAGTCAGGGAAGTTTTTAAGGATGGATGGATAGAGGGACAGATAAAGAGATCTCTGGTGTTTCTATTTTTCAGGCATAAATAAATTTACTAAGAAACTTCGAAATCCCTATGCCATCGACAATAATGAGCTTCTAGATTTCCTCTCCAGGGTACCGTCTGATGTTCAAAAGGTATGTAATGAATGGTCACCACCAACAGGAGCCCCAACACCGAAGTCTGGCCAGCCCCAGAGCTGGAGGGGCACAGGGCTGTGCTTGTGTGGGTAATTGAGATAAGGAATCAGAAAATCCTTAAAGAGGCCTGGCTTGCAGGGAGGTGGCAAGAAAACATTTGTCCAAAGCATAAGATGATTGGGGAAAATTAACCTGAGAAAGAGCTACTTAAGAAAGATCTGGAACTCATACTGCGTGGCCACAGCATGCTGGTGTTTGTCCCCTTTTTGATTGCTTGCCTCCATAAAGAGGATAATATGGGCTCCGTGAGTAGAACTGCATGAGCTCCAACACTAGAGAGGGTTGCTTATTTTCTTCCTCTTCCAGATGACAGGCATTTTAGGGGAAGTAGGGGACCAAAGGATTATTCTTTTTATTCTTGTTTGCCCTGATTATCTCCTAGGCCTCCCTTCTGTCCTCTTCCCTGTGAAGACTTAGGGACACTGGGGGAAAAGCCCCCACTTTACTCTAATACACAAAGAGGCAGAGACGGCGTGAAATAATTTGAGATCAATCAGAAGTATTATTCACAGGTAATGGTCACTTAGTCCAGCAGCGTCCCGTTTCTGTGGATACATGGAGATTAATGGAGACAACAGTACTAGAAAGTCCTGTAGAGTAGCCCGACCCAGGGCCCTGCCGATCAGCCTGCCACAAATCCCGAGGAAGGCGGACAGGCTGCGATTTCTCTAATGGAGAATACGTGAAATAATTTGAGATCAATCAGAAGTATTATTCACAGGTAATGGTCACTTAGTCCAGCAGCGTCCCGTTTCTGTGGATACATGGAGATTAGCGGAGACAACAATACTAGAAAGTCCTGTAGAGTAGCCCGACCCAGGTCCCTGCTGATCAGCCTGCCACAAATCCCGAGGAAGGCGGACAGGCTGCGATTTCTCTAATGGAGAATACAGATGACTGGATAGTTAGATGGGGAGACCATGGCATGGTATACCAATATGATCAAAGGCACAATCCTTTATGATCTGAGCCAATCCCAAATCAACTATCGATTTCCATCCCTGGGCCACTAACATAATTAGTTCCCGGGTAGCTCTGGGTCGACTGCAGAGACATGGAACTGAGTTTCTTTCCCCTTTATTCCAAGTTTTAGAGGTTATAATTGACACTCTTTTTCTTTAACCTTCATCTTATGATATAATTAGCTGTTAAAAGACATTCCATAAAGATGAATTTCCTCTTTAATATTTGCATTACATAATGAAAAGAGAATAACCTGGCCCCTGTTTGTTGTGCACTGAAGATTGACAGGTATGTCCTCCTCTGGTCCCCTAGGGGACCTTCACAAAACACTCTACAGAAAGGGTGCTTTTTTCATTTATCTGCTTTTGACAAAGTATAGCCTAACTTATGTGATTGGGCATGATGTCCTTGGGGAGTTTGGCACAAATGCTAAAAATAGTAAGCTCATGTGGTCCGTAATGCAATATTTTAAATAAAGCCATTCTACCACCAGCCTATCAAAGGCCACACACCAAAGCATTAAGTTTGCAATGTACCATCACTTGAGTTGCAGTGTGAGCTCATGCTGTATGCCTGAAGAGTAGAAATTTCCATCAAGCCCTCCCAAGGATTGTCAGTGCACAGTCCAAGCACCAACCCTAAGAGTGGTCATCCAGTTGGAGTCAGCATGATTACAAAGGGATACAAAAGAGCATTCGAGAGAGATAAACGCTGGGCTAGTAAGATCCTCCCTGTATCACCCGGGGCACTTTCTTTTTTTTTTTTTTTTTTCCTTTTTGTCTTTTTGCGTGACCGGCAATGGATCGCAACCCTCAGTGTTGCCCCCGTACCGGACCGGGACCGGCAATGGGATCGCAACCCTCGGTGTTGCGCCCGCACCTTGTTCAGCCAGTGAGCGGCCGGTCTGTATGTGGGATCCGAACCCTCGGTGGGAGCGCCACTGCGCTCCCAAGCGTGCGCCACCGGGCCGGCCCTGGGGCACTTTCTAATAACACAATGACAGTTTGCGACTGGGGACTCCCTGAGTACTCATATTTATCACAGATGTTTTAGCCACTGCATTGTAAGTGAAATTAATTTTTAAGAGAAATCTATATAAGTCTGGGGCCCAGTATCAGTTTCAGCATTTTTTCCCTCCCGGGCAAAATAAATATATAATTTGCTGAGATTTTTTTCCCCAAGATTTTAGATATTTTTATATGAATAATTCTCAGTAAGTTGCTGTATCATGTACTAAGATAAACATCCCCAAGAGGCAGTCATTAAGCCGACTTACGGTTGAAAAGGGGCACACGCAAAACTGAGATCATCTAGCAGTGCCAAGAGCAGGTAGAAACCCATGCATCTCATTAGAAAAATCTGCTTTTAATATTTTGGTTTCAAGAAATGATGCATGACTTTTCAAATCCTTCCTGCAATTAATCCCTCCATGTTCCTGTGTTTAGAAAATGATTCATTACCTTTGAACCTTCCTTCCTTTGCCTTGGTTTGTCCTTGGGGAGCCATTAACACACAGTGTGGTGAGCTAGGGTTACCTAACCACCAGCATCACGTCTGTTTGTTTTCACAGGTGCAGTACACGGAATTGAAACTCTGCAGCAGCCACAGCCCCCTGCGGAAAAAGCGCAGCGCTCTCTAGGACACACAAGGACGCTGGGCACCAGCACCCGAGATTGTGCTTGGTTGATCAGACCAATGTTACGGCTGTTTCATTGGTACCCACAGTGTCCTTTTGAACTGTGTGCTGTGTGCAGCCCTCTCTGCAGTCTCCTCCCTTCTTCCTATGCACAGAATCACCCACGTGTGAATGCACAGCCCCATGCAAGGGTGGCCTAGGTGCATAGAGGCCCAGCCCAGCAGAAGGAAGCAATCGCCAGACCACAAAAGACTAACATCTGTTCTCTAATGGGAGATAAAGCAGGGCTGCCATGGGTCTGAACAGCTAGGAGACCACTTGATTGCAGAGTGACATTGAACTTGTTTTTACACCTCCAACAGATTCTCATTAAGATTCATTTAGTTCCACCCCACCCCCACACTCCTTTCAGATTATTGTTTGGGTGAGTAAGTTTCTGCTGTGAGCTAACAAGTCACTGATAGCCATCTTCTGTCCAAATAATGTATATTAGAAAAAGATTTTTTAATAATGACCAGAATTAGCCCAAATCTTTAGGAATCCTTCTGCTGTGATTGCTAAGGGCCTTTATGTAAATTTTTGGTAGACCCCCTCGGTGCTGGATGTCAGCTGCCTCAGCGCCCATTGCTGGCAATGGGTGACCCAGGTAGGGCCCAAGGGACTCACTGGAAGAGTGAGGGTTTCATGAAAGTATTTGGTTTCCTTAAAACGTCATTTCTTCTCACTTTACTTTTTGCTTATTTCCAAAATGCCAATAATCTGCTTCAGAAGGGTGGGAGAGGATGAATGAGTGAATTCTGAGAGTATTTCGAAAGACGAAGGGCTGGAGAGCAAGGGACTAATAAATGAAGCTACTGAACTTATCATCATAATCATTTCATTTGCCTGAATGTTTTGAGTAGAAAGTAAAAATACTTTGTCCAAATTTATCTCTTGTTCTTCTTAGGGACAAAATAAGTCACGTACAATAAAAATTTATTTCAGAACCCATTCCTAGAAAAGTACCACTCAAAATCCTCCTTTGATACCATCTGACTCCTGCAGATCCCACCTTCCCATGTACTCTCCCCCCACCCCCACCAAGTAAAAATGCCAATTTTGTGCATATATAAAATGTATGCAAATATCTTTCTGTTCAAATGATATTTAAGTTACTTTGTATGTGCAGTTTTATATGTGTATATGTATTGTAAAGAAAAATTGAGGTAAAAAACCTAATTTAATAGTGTTTACTATGAGATTTTTTTTTTTGGTCTCTGGGTTGTAATTTAATAATCTTCAAACAAAATGTTTATGAAAAATGCCAAAGATTCTAAATGTTATCATCCCATGTCTGTTTTTCTTCATGTTGTATCTTCCTGGGTTGCTTTCTGGCTGAGCCAGATTTCTGCATGATTTGATTTACTTCAAGTTAATGAAGCTGGCTGGAAAAGAGCCTTGCAGAAATTATAAAAGCTCCAGTAAATCTCTTAGTTGTACATACAATAGATACCCAAGAACCTCTTTTGTTAAACCAGTTACTCAATCTTCTGTGTAAACAATGCCTCATTGTCTTGCTCCCACCATCTAGTTTATCATACTCTGTCATTTTGTAATGACCTAAGTCAGACATTTTTAAACAGACATGTGAGATCTGATCACTCATTCGAATGAAAACTTTCAGCAGCAAAATAACCCCTTATTTATGTAAAAGTGGAACTAATACTTTATTGTTGTTCTTTTGCTATAGAATTTCAAAATGAAATAATTCACCGGATGAGAAGGCATCATTAGTTAGACGTATTTTCTCTGTAGCCCAACTGGAATTCTCAGCCTTAAGTTTAGGACCCAAGCACCAGCTGGGATGCAAAAGCAGGACCCAATCAACCTTTAATAAATTGTATATGGAAAACAATTGTTAATTTATTACGTAGCCATTGGATGTTAAAAATGAATGTTGGTTATAAGTGAAATGTTAAGATTTATACAAGTAATTAGAAACTTTTAGGAAAGATTCCAGAATGCTTTAGATAAAATGTATGGATTATGGATTCACAGTATGATCATTAAAGATAATTAAATAGGAATGTTGAAGTCTTGCCAAGCCTTCCTGATTCTCTTCTCAAACCTCAGACACCCATTTCTAGGCCTGCCTGGATGTCTTACCGGCATCCACACCTCACCAAGTCAGAAACTGAGCATCCTTCTGTGTCTTCAGGGCCCCTACCCCCATAGTCTCCTTCTAGATAATTAAATAGGAATGTTGAAGTCTTGCCAAGCCTTCCTGATTCTCTTCTCAAACCTCGGACACCCATTTCTAGGCCTGCCTGGATGTCTTACCGGCATCCACACCTCAGCAAGTCAGAAACTGAGCATCCTTCTGTGTCTTCAGGGCCCCTACCCCCATAGTCTCCTTCTAACTTCCTTATTTCCTTTATTAGAACTGGTGTCTTCTGGGCAGGAAGCCTCTCAGGCATCCTCTTTTCTGTTCCTCATGTTTTCCCCCCATCTCCTAACCCATAAAATCCAGTAAACCCAGCGTTGACATGTTATCCCATCCACTTCTGTCGTGATTGCCACCAGTCAAGTTGAAGCCTCCATAACCTCTCACAAGTCATGGTAGGGGTGCCAAGTATATTACCCTAGTTAATTCTCATTCAGACTATTCTTTTTACTTGGAACGACCTCTCCCCAATTTCTGTCTGTGCAGATTCTACTCACCTTCAAAACATTCAAGGCAGGAGACTTTCTTAGTCCTTTGGCTGGATTAGGTCACGACCTCTTTTGCATTCTCACATCATATATATTTTTCTGGCATTTGCCATAGGTCATAGTTACCAGAGGCCTAGACTCCCACTGTCCTCCACTGGATATCCCATTCTAGCTGGCACCTAATCCAGTAGACACTTGGGAAATACATGTTTAACCAACTGGGTCATAGATGATTTTTTTTCTCTGCCCTTCTATGTGCTGTTGTCAGAACAGAGGGCTGTGCTGGGTAGATTACTGTGGTTTGTTCTGGGGGATGATTTCTTGCACTAAGCAAAAAGATTATTTTGTGTGATATTATTTAAAATCCCTGGCTGTGCTAATCATAAACTTTTAAATAATATCTTACATTTGGAAAAGTTCTTACCTACATGTCAAAGGAAAATGTTTATTTGTGGGTGCTGAAACAATCTTTTGATTCTTTTTTCTTGTAATTTATCATTCAACAAACATAGATATTGTGCACTGATGATATACCTGAACAGAACAGACTGTATTCCCTTGGTAAAGCCAGACATTCAAGATACTTTCAAGCAATGGCATGACACCCTCTGATTCAAATTCGAAAAAGATCATTCTGGAAGCAGTGGGCAGACTAGCAGAGAAGAGCTATCAGCTGATTGCAGTACTCCTCATAAATTCATGGTATCCTGGACTTCCCAATAGTAGCACTGGAAGAAGAAAAATATAAGTAAAATTAAAAGATGATTAGGAGATAAAGTGAGTGGAACTTAACAATTGCTTGACCACAGGGTGAGGGAGAGAGTCGAGTCCAGCATGGCTCTGTCTTCCTGTCTTCAGGTCTAGGAAGATGGTGGTATCTTTTGCTAAGGGAGAGAACTATAGGAACAGCCATGTGAGGAACTGCATGAGCCTAATTTTTGACAGTGTTGAATTTGAGGTTCCTGAGAAGCCTCCAAATGGGTATGACGAAGAGGTAACTAATATATGAATATGGCGTTCAGAGAAGAAATATACCGTAAATGAGAGGTGCACATGTGAAGGCCAATGTTGCATAGGAAGTGACTGAAGTTATGTGCTGCAAGAAATTGAACCTGGAAGAACTCAACACTCAAAGCCATGTAGATAAAGATGAGCCAGTTAAGAGTGTAAATGGAAATGGGAGTAAATAGAAAGGGTTATGTGGAAAAGAGGAAAGCAGTAGCACGTGTTGACCTAGAATTCAGTGATAGAGCATGTTTCAAGAAAGCAGGTGTGGTCAGTAGTGCCAGATGCTCAGGGAAGCTGAGAACAGAATAACAATGATCTTAATGACAAGGCAGTGGGGGAACGTTGGCAAAGAGTCATTTCAGTGGAGTGAAAGGAATGGAAACCAGAATTGAGAAGTTGAGAAGTGAGTGAATGTAGGAAAGTGGAGCCTCTGCATGGAGATAACTCTTGAAAAGTTCCACTGTGAAGGAGAAGGGAGAGAGAGGGCAGTGACTAGGGATGAACGAAGGCATATGGAATGATTTTGGCAAGGAAATAAATTAGGTGTGTCATAAACTCAGGGTATACCTATTAGCTATGAAAAATTTTTCATGCGTATGAGATGGAGTTAACCATTGCTACTTAAAACTATGATCTGTCAAAACCCAGCTTTTTTTTTTTGTCCTTTTTGAGACCGGCTGCACCGTGCTCAGCCAGTGAGCGCTGTGAGCGCACCGGTCATCCCCATATAGGATCCGAACCCGCGGTGGGAGTGCTGCCACACTCCCAGTGCCACACCCTCCCGAGTGTGCCACGGGCTCGGCCCAAAACCCAGCTTTTTTAATCATCCCCATATAGGATCCGAACCCGCGGTGGGAGTGCTGCCGCACTCCCAGTGCCACACCCTCCCGAGTGTGCCACGGGCTCGGCCCAAAACCCAGCTTTTTTATGTAGTAGCAGTCTTACAGCAACAGAACAGTTGAAAACTTAAAATATCTTCTGAAAATACATTGAATAGTCAATTGATAATTAAATGAAAGCTGAAATCCTAGAGATTGACTTCTAACAGAGTGGCTTAAAACATGCAGCTCTCTGTATAAAGCCTACTGTTCTGTCCTGGCCTCTTAACGTGATGATTTACGTGGGGACAATGGATATTCAAACACATAAGAATGTGAATATTTAATAGCACTTGTCCAATGCTACCTACCTTCTACATGTTTTAGATGTAATAGCTCATTTAATAATAGTTGTTATTATAAAAAACCAATGAAATTCCTCCAAATACTTAAGAAAGGAAAAAAAAAAACATTAGACAAATTTTCCTAGAAAATAGCAAACATTTCCTGCACATTTTATGAGACCAGTATAATCCTCATTCCAAAACCCAACAAAGTTATACAAAAATAGAAAATTACTTACCCAAATCCCTTATGAACATAGATGCATGATTATTAAAAATATGCAAGCCTCTGTAAACAATGAAAGAAAGAAGATAAATAAGTGAAGGGATTTGTGGATTAGAAAATTCAATGTATTAAAATGTCAGTAGATTGACAACAATAAAAATTGGGGGATTTTTTTGAAGAAATTGATCAGCTGATTTTAAAATTAGATAGAAATGCAAGAGTCCAAGATAACCAAAGCAATCTTGCAGAAGATTAACGATGTATTATACAGCTATTCTAACAATGTGGTATTGGCACAAGGACAGACAAACAGATCAAAGAGGTAGAAAAGACCAGAAGCGGACCCACACGTATTTGGTAACCTGTAACCTAACTTATGTCAAAGGTAACATATTTGTAGTACATAGGGAAAAGGCTTTTTTGAATAATGGTGCTGGGTCATTTTAGTACCCACATGGATGAAATGAATTTTGACCCCTTCCTTATACCGTACACAAATATCAATTCCATACGAATAGCAGATCCAAAAACAGAAGACAAAGATTTCAGAAACAGACAGGAAAATATGTCTGTGTGATAAGTAAAACTTTCTTAAACTAGGAACAGAATGTTAATCATAAAGAAAATAGTGTAATAAATTGGAGAACATTAAAATTAATTCTTTCCTCAAAAAAAAAAAAAATGACTAGGAGTGAAAGGATAAGCCACAAAGTGGGAGGAGATATAATTTTATATGTATCAAATCCAAAAAGGACTCTTATCTAGAATACATAAAGAACTTCTACAATGAAAAATTAGATAACCTAGTAGAAAAATTGGCAAAAGACTTAACAGGCACTTCACAAAACAGCGTATCCAAATCACCAATGAACATATAAAAAGTTGCTCAACATCATTAGTCAACAGGCAAATAAAACTGAAGCTGAACAATGAAACAACTACACATAGCCAGAATGGCTAAAATTAAAAAAGTCAATATCAAGTATTGTCAAGGGTATGGAAAAACAAAATTCTCATACACTGCTGGTGCATGTAAATGTAACTTGGTACAACCACTTTGGAAAACTGTTTGGCAGTGTCTGTTAAAACTGACCACATGCTATGCTGTGACCTTCCCCCAATTTTACTCAT